GAGCTTTCAGGACAGCTTTCAGAGCCCTTAACAGCTTAGACAATTTTAAGGGCGTAACGTTTCTTAGGACCTTTGCCCCGTCACATTTCGAAGGTGGACAGTGGGACAAAGGTGGAGATTGTGTTAGGACCAGGCCTTTTAAGAGGAGCGAGAGAGCTTTGGATGATTACAATTTGGAAATGTATACGATTCAACTTGAAGAACTCAGAATTGCGCAGAAGGAAGGAAGAAGAAAAGGTTTAAAGTTCAGGTTGTTTGATGCGACGCAATCCATGCTGCTGAGACCAGATGGTCACCCCAGTAAATATGGCCATTGGCCTAATCATGATGTGGCAATGGCTAATGATTGTGTGCATTGGTGTTTGCCCGGACCAATTGACTCCTGGAATGATTTCTTGTTAGAACTGTTGAAAAGGGAGGAAACGGAGATTTCTTTTTCGTAGTGTTCATATAGGAGAACCACCTCTCAGGCTCTCAGCTCACCCTAACCCTAGAAAAGAAAAGAATGAGGTAGATACTTTCTTTTCTTTTTCTTTTTGAAAAAGAATAATGTAGATATACCGAATATGTGTACAATTTTTTTGTCAGATTTTAATTTTTTTCCCCTTCAATTTTCTTTGTTCTTTTTTTTTTTTTTTTTGGTTTTATGGGAGCCCCATGTTTGTTCCGGATTTTGACATTTTTGTTACGGAACTATACATCGATATCAGGAGAAAATTGAGACCTCACAAAATTGTTACAGATCGTTATCACATGCAAAAAGTTACGGTCCTGTACTGTATGGGAAATTTTTTTTTTTTTTTTTGGTTAAACTGATTTTCGACAAATAAGGAGTAGAAAAAAGATTATGCATAATTATTTCTGGCTCACAAATCGGCTTCGTGAGATCATACGGAGCATGTAATATTACCTCAAGATTGTCAGCATAACCAATCTCTACCTGCTCCGATTATGAGGCTTTTTACCAGTTAAATTTTGACCAGCAGCTAATTTTCTTTTTTCACATAGTTGAAAGAATGCTGAAGAAAACATTTAGGACATCCCTGAGGAAAACTAGGCAGCACATGTATGGGTAAGTGAAGAATTTGGACTCTTGTGCTGACATAGTTTTGAAAATGGTGGGATTCGATCGTGAGTCGGGACACTGCAGACACTTTTAGTTAAGGGAATCAAAGATGGTGGAATTGGTAGAATAATAATACGAACAATATATATGGAAGATGAGTAGATTGGTTGGATCTGCAGCTTAGACCTAGAAATCATCATGTTCTCCATAAGTTTCCCCTTGCAAGTCCAAACTCCTAATTAATATGTTCTCCAATCTCCATTAGTTGAGTGTTGACTGCGCAAGTATTTATTCGAAACAATTGCTTAACCACACTCCTATAATAACTGCGGCCACACGCTGGTAGTGCATTTAATTGTTGAAAGCATATGAAACAATTCTTGTCCTCCTCCTTGTTGTTGCAGATACTTCACATTTTTAATTAACGTGCATTGCTAGGCTTGGCAAACACTTGGATCATGCACCAACACGTAGAAGGACTTGCATCCCTTAATCATGAGATGATTTTGGGTTCAAAGCTCATGGGAATGAAAAAGACAACGTTGAGAGAGTTTCTCCTGCAAGGGATTCGAATCGACTTGAACAGAATTAGTCGCAAATCGTAAAACGGATGCGGATACCTGTGAGTTATACCAAACAAAAAAAAAAAAAAAACACTTGGATCATGCATTAAATTTTTATTCCTTTGTTCCAAATTTTGGCTTTAATGGAATATTATGTACTACTTATCATAATTGGGAGTATAAGTTGTAACTACTAGCTTGCGACTTAAAAGTCTTAAATATGCAACTGCACAAGAAAACAAAACTGTTTTCTTTGGTTAAGCTAAGACTAATTAATAACTCCTTCGAACTAAACCATTCAATTTGCTTTTGCTATTTTTTAAGTAGTTCCCCATCAAACGTCCAACTAAACCACATAATGTTGTATATGTATATGTGCTACGGCCACCCAACCTCCGCAATATATCTACTAAACTACTACTGCTACTCTCATTTCAGATCCTGCCTGTATTCTGTATTCATTTAACGTATACTCATCAGCCATTTCATTCACCATTCTGATCTCCACTTACCAACAACGCTAATTGAAGCATTAGCTCCAAGGAATGGATCAGGGCATCAGGCTGCATTTGTCAAAAGCAACTCGGTTCAAAGGGCCCCTGTGATACTTCCCGTAGCAGTAACAGTAACAGCATTAGTCATTCTCGCGATTCTCCGATTTACTACCCTCTGAGAAGATACCCGTCTCAAGCAGTAGTGAAGATCGCCGCTTCCCCTCCATACCATTCGGCCCAGAAACTGATAAAGGCAGTAGAAGATGAGGAAAAGTGTGACATCTTTACAGGGGAATGGATTCCAAACCCGAATGCGCCTACTACACAAACGCTACGTGCTGGGCGATCCACGAGCATCAGAACTGCATGAAATATGGAAGGCCGATGACGGGTTTATGAAATGGAAGTGGAAGCCAGAGGGGTGTGATCTACCGATCTTCAACCCGTATCAGTTCTTAGACATCGTCAGAGGCAAGTCCATGGCCTTGTGTGGGAACTCCATTGGCAGAAACACATGCATGCAATCCTTGATATGCCTCTTGTCCAGGGTATGCATGCCCTCTTCTTTTTATATATATAAATAAAACTCCTAAATTTCTATAACATATAAACTTCTCAAGCTAAAAAACTGTATAAAATTTTTTTTTTTCTTTGTGCGGAGCAAATCCTAAATTTCTTTCCCTTTAATATTTCGGCTTAGGACTAGAGGAGTCATAAAATCTCAAACTATTCCTAGAGATCATGCAATTCTGTTGTATATTTCGGTCAACAGTCAACATAACATGTCTACCTGTTTTTGATTCTGGCCCATCTAGCTACAAAGCATAACCAACAATTAACAAGAACATCGTGTCAGAGATTTGTTGGCAAATGACCAACTTTGCCTAACTAGCTGTGCCATAATTCTCTGTCTTTTTCTGCATATGGGCAGGATAACCAATTGTAATTAAGTTATCGATATTCCCATGCATCATCATGGTTATTGGGATGGTTTCGCGTGCCAGATTCAGTTCAAGGAACAATTGCTAGCACCGTCTAACGTGCTAGCATTGCTAAATATTGTAGGAAGACGTCTTTATGTTATGTTATTAAGGGTGCTTTTTTGTAAAACTGAAATTTGAAAATTAAAATTTAAAATTTAGAGTTCAAATTCATTAAAATATCAAATTTTTAAGTACAAAATTTAATACATTTGAGTATAATCACGTTAAGTGATGAGTGAATAATGTATTAATTATTTTTTAGAGCAAGTTTTGTTTAGTAAATTCACCGTCACTTAATTAATTCAAATATTATATTTTTTTATTATCATTAAGGTTTCAACATATTAATATCTGAATTCATTAAATTTAAGTGTTGAATTGAATTACCAAACAGAGCCTAAGCAGAGGATTATGCACAATGGCAAGCCAACAACATCAAATTGATCCTAAAGATTTGAAACAATTTCTCTTTTTAGGTGGAATTTCCAATCGACGACTCGGCCACGGATGATGACTATTTCAGGAGGTGGAAGTACCCAAGTTACAACTTCACCCTGGCAGCATTTTGGTCACCCTTCTTGGTTAATTTCAAAAACCAGGCGCAGCTGACCTCTTCGATCTTTACCTTGATGAGTCTGACGAGAAATGGAGCACCGACATTGAAGGATTTGATTACGTCATCCTCAACGCCGGGCAATGGTATTTCCGTCCAAGCATGTACTATGAGAAACGCCGCCTCGTGGGGTGTCGTTTTTGTCAACTAGGGAACATCATAGACCTCCAATGACTTACGGGTATAGAAGAGCGCTGAGGACAGCATTCAGGGCAATCAATAGCTTAAAAAATTACAGGGGTATAACATTTCTCAGGACTTACGCACCTTCTCATTTTGAAAACGGGGAATGGAATAAGGGTGGAAATTGTCTGAGAAAGAGGCCGTTTTGGAGCAACGAGACTGCCCTGGAGGCCAACAATTTAGAGGTTTACTTGACTCAAATGGAGGAATTTAGGGCTGCAGAAAGGGAAGGGAAGAAAAAAGGGTTGAGGTATAGGTTGCTGGATGTAACTCAAGCCCATGCTTTTGAGACCCGATGGCCATGCCATCCCAGCAGATATGGACATTGGCCGCATGAAAATGTGACATTGTACAACGATTGTGTGCATTGGTGCTTGCCTGGACCTATTGATTCCTGGAGTGATTTTTTGCTCCACATGCTGAAGATGGAGGGTAGGAGATCCCACGAGGAAAAGCTTCAACCACAAACGCAGTAAAGAAAAGCTAAAATAGATTTTTTTTTTTTTCTTCTCTGCTAAACTGCTAGTACTGTTCTTAATATATTGTGTGCTATGCCCTACTGTAGTTTCTAAAGGCTCGGTACTTTAGCTAAAATCTTGTGGAGTAAAACATATGCAAAATGCAACCACCATACTTTAGGTTGGTGGTCACCATTAAAGCATTAAGGCTTGATGGGTGGGAGGTCAATGATTCAAAGTCTTATCTTTATCAATTGCCACAATATGTGGATTGCTTAAAAAAATCTATACGGTGTATAGTGCACCGTCTGATTCGATGGTGGTTCTGTCCCTTCTGGATTATTGCTGGATTTCTTTAGATCCAGAAAAAAAAACATGCAAATGCATCCAACAATTTCACTAGTTTACTTTCGTGACTCGAGGCGAATTATACAATGTAATAGACCTGATTTGTAATTGCTAATCAGACAAGTCGGAGTCTCGCAACTATTTCTGCATGCATGTCAATAAACAATACCATGATGACAAAGCGAGACACATTGAAGCTTGCGAAAACAGGAAGAATCATGGGGTAGGGGACCTCAGTTGTTACGGGCGGAAATTCAAGAATTTGTCTGATTTGGTGGTGTGCTCTTGCCCATCAGGCTAGTAGCATTATATTCCGACTGCAACACTTGAAGCAAGATCTCATTCCAGGTGTCAATGGGCCCTGGTAGGCACCAATGGACGCAATCAGCATTTGTGAAGTTGGCACCAGGGCCATGTAGTGGTTTGGGTGACCATCTGCCCTCTCTGCCATCATATCAGTTGGGTCTAGGATCCGAAACTTCAAGCCCCTCTTCTTCCCTTTCCCGTCTGCGGCTATCAGCTCCGCAACTTGAGTCGAGTAAAGTTTCAAGAAGTATTCCTCAAACCTGATTTCGTCCTTTGCAATCGGCCTTGTTCTCACGCAGGTCCCACCTGTATTCCATCCTCCGTTCTCATAGTGTTGCGGAGATATTGTCCTCAGAAATGTAGTTCCCTTAAATTTTCCAAATTTAGCAGCGTCGTAAACGATGTCCTGAAGGCCATTTGGTACCCATAGTACATACTAAGGCCGGTGATTTTCCTTTTGTTGCAGGCGTACAACCTATAAGCTTACCCTTTCTGTAGTACACGAGTGGCCGGAGGAACCACTGTCCAGCTGATATGATCACATAATTGAACTTTTCAATGTGATTGGCCCAGATCTCATCAACCTCGTCCAAGTAGAGGGTTTGACTCGTGACGGGGTAGATATTGGTGTCGGCATCTTCGGATTTCACCAAGTGAACGGACCAGAAAATGGCTAGCGTGAAATTATATTCTGCATAAAACCACTGCCTAAATCTTGGGTCTGCTGTATATGAGTTATCCACAGGATCAGCTGCCTGAGAGAACAGATAAAAGCACCATTTAGTTACAATATATATGATTTTAACCATTTGAGTAAACTACCCACCAAAAGATTAAAAAAAAAAAAAAAGAGGGAAAAAAGATACTACTAGTATTGATTATTTGCAACGTACACTTGCTAAGAGGCAAACCAATGACTGCATTTGATTTCTTGCTAGTGAATCACCGATAAAGGCCAGCGACTTTCCTCTTACAAGCTCCAAAAAGAGAGTTGCATTAAACGGGGGTAGCTCGCATTGACTTGGCTTCCACCTCCATTTCATGAATTCGGTATCTGGTCGTCCGAACTTGATGCAGTTTTGTCGATCATCGATCTGACATTTAGTTTCATTCGTGTAGTAAGGAGCCTCGACTTGAGGAACCCAATCTCCAGAAAACATATCACATGGTTCACCAACCCAAATGCCCTGCTCGAAGGCAATGAACTCCTCCTGTAAACCAACTCCATATCCAGCCTCCATGGAGAAAATGAATAGTTGTACAAACAGAAAAAAGGGTGCTGAGGAGAAGAAATGATAAGATCAGTAAAGACAGCCTTTTCGAGGAGACATCAGGACATGTACGCTTCCCACTGGGAAGTGTAATGATACAGGCCTTCATTGATGTAATGTAATGTAACCGCGATGAATGAGCATTTGGGTTTTGTTGCTTTATTTATATACACAACGCAACTACACAGCTACGCAATCCTCCGCTGGTGCAATAATTAGACGCTTGATCTCTTTCGTTTTTCTTTTTGCATTTTGTTTCTAACGTAGCATTTTATATGGCGGTTTCAAAGGAAAAAATTGGAAAAAAATAAAATAAAATTCAGTTTCAATACTATGACAGGTTCTGATAAATTTGAGCTAGAGGATATAGGTTTAACGAGTAGCCTTTGTCGTGTTTAAATTCCAAAACACACGTTCAATTTTCACAAAACATTATTAATATCTTTGATTTATGAATGGAAAGCCACCCAAAAAAAAAAAAAAAAACCGTATCTAGTGGATTAATTCTGTGATTAAGCTAAATCCCATGATATGATAATGATCAATGGAAAAACAGTTTCAATGAAAAGTAATCATTTCTAAAATTTTGAACTGAAGGCTGACACTTGACAGTGCATATTGGAGTACGCGGAAAGATATCATCAGCTACACTGCCTTCCTTTTTTTTTTGGTAGAACTCTGGCCTTCCCCTTTACTCTTCGACTGGCGACTGACCCTGCACTTCAACAGCCAGCCAGTGGCAACCCACGACCCAGGACTAGGAGAGGGTCGGTCGAAGCATGGAGTAAATAAATAATTGTTGTAAAAGTAAAAGAAAAGCAAAGGACAAAAGAATATGAAATTTAGTGCTCCAAGTGACAAAACTATGGGGCAAAAGATGAAGAACAAGTAGGGAGGAATCAGGTTTTCTTGCAAGAAAAATCCTATATTAAGCCATGGTGGGATTTAAGCAAGCAGACACAAATAAACTAAGTAAAAGTTGATTTTAGAGATTCCCATATTTGTATATATTGTTTAGAAGTACAACAAACTATGCTTGCAATCTCCTGTCACACACATTCTCTGCGACTTCCTTCTTGTTTTATTTATATTGATGTGTTCCAAGAATCTCTGATTATTTAATCAGGCCAGCCATTTTGGGATAAAATCAACGTCATGAATATGATGATTATACAGTCAACAGCCCTCCAGGAGGAGGGTGGCTATTTATGCAAATATCAACAGGCAAAGAGAACTCCGGTCATTATTAAATACTGGGATGAAACAGATTAGCGTCTTCAAATTTTCGCTTCTGGCCGGCCAACACTTTTCTTTTTTGTGATGGAGATTAACAACAAATTGTCAACTTTTACGAAAAATGGGCCGCCCAGCACTAGGCTTTTTGGGTTTTCAACATCTGAAGCAAGGCCTCATTCCACGTATGCGATCGGCCCAGGTAAGCCCAATGGACACAATCAGCAATCGTGACGTTTTCCCTGGGGCCATGTCCGTAGTGGCTTGGGTGACCATCCGGCTCAGCATCATGAGTCGAGTGCGTCCAGAGGCTTGAACTTCAAGCCCCTATTCCTCCCTTCCCTTTTCGCTGCTGTCAGCTCCGCCAATTGAGTCCAATAAAACTCCGGAATGTACTCTTCCATCCCCATCCCTTGCTTGCCGATTGGCCTCCTTCTCATGCAATTCCCGCCTTTATTCCACTCTCACATTTTCATAATGCTGAGGGGAAAATGTCCTCAAAAAGGTTATCCCTTTGAAGCCATCCAAATTCAGAAGGTCCTAAAGGATGTTCTGAGACCATTTTGTACCCATAATACCTAGTAAGGCTTGTGACGTTCTTTTGTTGCAGATATAACACCCTACAATCTTTCCCTTTTCGTAATACAAAAGTGGCCGCAGGAACCACTGTCCAGATGATATAATTATGTACCGTGAAATTCGAACATGGCTGCCAAGATTCATCAACCTCATCTAAGTAGAGCTTCATAAAGCTAGTCAAGGAGTAACCCTTGGGGTCAGCTTCTTCTGATCTAACCAGATAAGTAGACCAGAAAGCTGCCACAGTGAAATTGTATTCTGCATAAAACCACCGTCTGAATCTTGTATCTTCTCCATATGATACATCCACAGGATCGGCTACCTAGTAAAAGGATAAGAACAATACACAATAGCAGTAAAACCTGAATGTAATAGCGTCAGATTTGAAAAAAAAGAAAAGAAAACTAAGGAGTTGATAGCTACATACACTGGCTAAGAGGCAGACAAGTGACTGCATTTGGTTCCTTGCCAGTGAATCACCGACAAAGGCCATGGACTTTCCTCTACAAGCTCCAAGAATTGAGTGGCATCAAAACGAGGGAAGCTCGCATTCATTAGGCTTCCACCTCCATTTCAAGGAACTCTGTATCTGGTCGGCAAACTTCATGCAATTTTGTCGATCATCAATCACGCATTTGGTTGCATTTGTGTAGTAAGGCCCTTTGGAGACAGGAACCCAATTCCCACTAATAAATCGCACTCGCACTACACTACGCACTTTTGTTGAGTTACCAAGCAAGATTTTCACTTGCAGCTGTGAACTACGATCAACTATTACTGGGTTCTCATACAAACAGAAAAGGGTGGTACTAACCAGAAGAAATGAGGTTAAGATCAGTAAAATCAATCCGTTAGGAGATTTGCTCCTCCGCTGGGAACTGCAATCATGTAAGCCTTCATTAGAGTAGTTGCGGACGAAAGAGAATTCGGGTTGCACTTGTATGTGCAGTATTCTTCTAGATATATGTGCACTAATGTGGTACTCTTCTTGACCTTTGAACCGAAATTTCGGGAGCAATCATGCAAACGTAAAGAAAATTTTCAGATGCTCCAAGGTGCCTGTTTGCAGCAGAACAGTTAATAATTGAGCTCCAACTGCAGGCATGGACATGGAGTACATTAAACTTGTCAGGGAAGACTTCTTGTTCCAAAATGCGGAAGAACATGTAAGAAGCCAACTACAGATTACATGATATCTCCTTTCTTTTTGTTCTTTTAGGCTTGATTTTTTTTTTTTTTGGATAGAAATAAGGATAAATATATTAATTAATTCCTCCAGGCTTGATGCACGTCAAGTATGTTTGCTTTATTACGTGTGTCTATGGGTGAGCACTCATCATTGGGGAATGATCAATCGGAAAACCACTAGTTCTGAAGGAACTAAATACCAGAGTTCTTGGCAAAGAAAGGCATCATCAACACTTGGCATCCAAGTTACTCCACGTTCTTGGAGCTGTACCAGTTGAATCCTGCCATCAGTCCGTGGCAAGTTGTGAAACTGAGGGTCTAAGCGTGAGCAAACTCATTGCAGCCCAGAGACAGGAACGAGTTTTACATTTGACAGTGATCATAGAATATTCAGAGCACTCGAGAAGATTTTTCCAGTGTCTCAAGAATTGTTGAACTCAGGAAAATGTTTAGATACAAAATAGAAATAACTCTCAATGAGCGTGAGAATTAGGTGAACTGGATATGTAAATTTGCTATCTTCATGCTTCGTTTCTCCTGAAATTAAAAGATGTACTTCGCTTTTTTTTTTTTTGTTTCGGAAAACAGAGGAAACCTTATTCAGATAATCCTCTAAATTTCTCTCTTTTTTTTTTTTTTTTTTTTCGATTTGTTCAGGATTATTATTACAAACAAGAAAATGTGAATTGTATTAGACTAATCGATTTCTGCTCGATTTCTTACTGATAAAGATAAACTGCATTGGATGGACAACCGATGTGTGGTAATTGAAATAGTAAATCATTTGGCTGTTCAGCTTTCATCGTCGATTGATGTGGATCAATTCTATATTCGTGGCTGCCTGATACATCGTCAATTGATTGATCTTTGAATAGTCCATTCAATCGGCAGCCTGCAATTTCGACGCCATCTTCGTTGCAAGAGCCTACAAAAACAAATGAGCATGCTCCATCTGATTATTTGTCGTTGCTCTCTATCTTTCATGCAGATGTACAGCACAATTTGCGTTTAGTAACACGCGTTTACTAGTCCAAGGATAAAGAAAGGGACAAGTTCAGAGAGAAAACGAAAGGCGTTACCAAGAGCCTACTCTATTCCAGAAATCCTGTGCAAGCAAATTCCGAAATGCTGGAATCAACAGCCTCGGCTCCTATCATTTACTGCAAAGACGAAATCAAGATTTCGACCATCGTCTCCTATCGCTTACCACTCATACGTGACCTTTCCATATTCAAATGGTCGGATAATGATTTAGTTCTCGTATTTTCTTGATCTAATTGAGCCCTTTCTTGGATAGATGGATTAAAATATAAAATAGGAGTGGCGTAGGAATTGTCAATTGACCAAAAAAAAACAAAGAAGTTGAGTCCGAATACTGGTAACGGATCATTTCTTTCTTTCTTCTCAACATTCAAAGGCCCACTGGCAATGAACAATAATGCCTTGCTTGCAACGTGCAGAAGTCCAAGTTTCAGGTCTTACATAAATTATCTTGCAATTGTCACCCTTCCCTTGTCACAAGTAAAGTAAACAACGCAACCTCCAAAAAGGAACCAACTTCGCTTCCAGTCCAATCCAATCCAATCATCATCATCATCATCATCATCATCATCATCCCTCTTCTCGTCAATCTGAATCCTGGTGCAAGCAAAAACACCTCAGCCATGAGCCGACAGCCAAACACCCGCCTCTGGGGTGAGAGTTGACTATTTTCTAAACTCCCGGCGTTTCAGTTTCCACCCGATCTCCTCTATTGGGCCGGTTAGTGAAAGTCAAGGTACTAATTATTATTGTTATCCGCCAGAGTGGCAATTGACCAAGTTGCCAGCAACTAAATTAACGCGTTAAGCTTTAACCAATGCTGAAGAAAGTCAGACGAAAGGTCGTGACTGCGATCACAAAGCCCTTCAAGAAAAAGGGTAGAAAAACCCCTCCTCCTCCTCCCCCAACAGAACCAGAGCCAGCCCCACCATCGCCTGCTTCTCCTTCTCCACCTCAATCTCCCACGATGTCACCACCCAAGAGGAAACACACACAACCGTTCCTCTTCCCTCAATCCCAATCTGTAGTTCTCCCTGATCCCTCCACCTTCTTTTCACCCAACCTCCTCTCCTCC